ACGATATTTGAGGAAGTATCACAAGTGAAGCTCAGTAGCTTTCTTGATGTTTCAGATGCGAAGCTTACAGAAATAGTACAGCATACAGAGGAGGACCAATCGTTGAAGCTCGTTGCAGGCTACATTCGACAAGGTTGGCCGAAATCGGTCGATCGTGTACCTGACTGTGCAAAAAATGATTTCAACTACCGTCACGAACTAACTTCTCAAGACGGCCTACTGTTTCGTAATGAACGTATAGTTGGCCCGCACTCGTTGAGACGAAAACTTGTAGATAGTTGTCATGCAAGCCACAATGGAGTGGAGGCTACATTAAGACTCACACGAGCAAACTTATTCTGGCCGGGTATGAGTTCCCAGATTAAGGACACTGTCACCCAATGTTCGGTATGTGCCAAGTTTGCAGCATCGCAGTGACATCTACTCATCCGATCGCGTCATACTATGAGCAAGGACACGAACCCACGTATAATTTATATTCACCCCTATTCTGTATTTCGTTTCGGATCGTAGTGAGCTGTGCTCGAAGAGAGACTTAGAAAATTTTCAGCCGTCAATTTTTGCTCCGTTTTTTCTAGACTTTTGTGAAGTTGTAATTAGTGTTCCTTCAACTATTTGCCACCCCAGAGTTCTTAAACCACTGCCCGCATAAATCACAACCATACGATTACCATGTTGAAAATGGTTTATCTTCCTGTGAAAACCATAATAAAAATGGTTCAGCCAACTTTAATCGAACCATACCTAGAGAAGTTTTGACCATATTGCTTAAGGTTTTTGAAGACCCAACCATACGAACAATGGGTGGTTAAGAACGTTCACCATACGAAATCTTACTTTTTCCCATACATTTTTTGCAAAGGAACTATAGCCTAACCACATCAGAAAAGGTTCTAGTTGGATATGTAAATCCTATTCCTATTATCGTTCGAATAAGGTAGTACGGCTTAAAATCAACCATTGTTGTTAACTTCAAGATATACTATGTCCGGGTAGAAATTACCATACTTATTGATGTTATAATACTATTGTAGCATATGCGGAACACAGCATATATGGGTTGTTCTTTAATTTTAATGTTATTTGCAAGACGTCATTTTGTGGCATCTCTCGGTATTATTTTTTATTGATTTAAAGATAAATGGAATAAACAAATGATTACACTCTGCAAAACAAACCTTCATTCTATTTCTAGTTGATAAATGTGCACCGGTAAAATGAACCCGCTTCGATTTCCATTTTTCAAAATCTCCTTCTCATGTAGACCGCTGTTAGCCATTATGGCTGGGATTGTCAAAGACCCTAAATATGCTTGTGGAAAATACATGCGTTTTTAAGGAATACTTTATACTGTAAGCTGATATTACTTACGTTATTATTTTTTCTCGACGTTAAAACTGGTTAAAACAGGTTTTCCATTTGGAGTAAGGGTTTAAAAATGCAATAACTCAGCAAAATCAACCAAATGTACTCACGACCGCCGTTCCAAACAAAAGCGTTTTCTTTTATTTGTGCCAAATGTAAAAACATAAAGCAACCATAAGCGAAACACGTAAGTGTTGTACAAGTTGTTTTCAACTTTTATTCGTAATGTTTTGTAATAGTTTAATATAGTCTCGAATAGTTGATCAACTTTAACAAAATGTAGCTGAAACATACCAGAAACAGTAACAGTAGAAAGTAGTGTTTCTTTTATGTTGATTACATTCCGTAAACCATAGCAAAACTATTTTGTATAAAGTTAACATAGCTAGTAAGGTGTCAGTGAAGTTTAAACTGTTCTAGAAATGGTTATTTTTTATGCGGGTGATCATCTCGGAACCTAGCACCATTGGTTGTTCTTTGTGGCTCTTTGTGTTCCTTACAAGTGGGTCAGATTCTCCGATTAGCAGCCTGAATCCATTCAGCCACAATTGTGCTTTCATCATCTGACTAATCAACTGATTGGCCATACAGGATTTTTGGTTCGCTTGTCCGATACTAAGGCTCTGAACCATTTGGTGGATTATTTTAACTTTTGGTTAAAATTTGACAGATGGAAAGTTATCGATTAACCCTGCTATCCGAGCGTGGTTACTTCTGACAGACAAGAAGTTAAATTTTGACAACTGTGGCTCGAAAACCGATCGATCAACAGCACGGGGATTTTTGAACATAGAAAATAACTTTCGAAATGTCACTTTTAACCACGAGTTAAATTTAACTCGGCAAATGGTTCACAGCCTAAGAATAGGAAAACCTATTTTCGAGCCCAGTCAACCAACCCTTGAGTATGGAGATCACTGTAACAAGACATCGTTCATGGATCAATTTGTCCTTTTCCTCTCCTTCCCTTCCCTTCTTCTCTTTTCAGAAAGCGAGTAATGGCGCTATAACCATATGCCATATAGGGCTAGGACAAGAGTTAGTGCTCAGGTCCCAACCGCTAGAAGAAAATGGTAGCGAGCAAAGGCGCTATAACCTAGGCGAATACAGCATTCCCTCCGTATAGGTTACGTCCGCACACCGCTCTCTGTTGTCCTTCGACTGAGGTCGGCTGGATCGATTGAGGGATGGCAGTGGGTTGGCGGTGCCGTCCACGCTTGTACGGAGGGAGGACTGTACGCTCGAACACAAGGGGTAAATACCTGTGTTCCATCCCAGGAGATCGGACAATCAAGGAGTGTACATTAACTTTCTTAGCTCTGTCACTCCCAACGATTTATATAGCCCTGCATACGGAGCGGTTGGTACGGTATGTCCCCGCTCTTTGATTACCTGTGGATTAATGTTAACCACTGTCTATACTTATTAAGAGCAACCGTAACGGTACGCTGCTAAACTCATTTTAGCAGCCCTCATCATAGCGCAGCTACCGTATCGGGGGTTGCCATACGAGTAACTAAAATAGCAGTCGGCTTCTCGGTGAGAAGCGCGTTACCAAATTTAGCAGCGCGATAGCAGCGCGGGAGAAAGGTTGCTATTCGTAGACTTATCAAAATGCTCACTACCGGTACGGACTACGGCGAGTAAATTGATAACCACGATAGCAGCGACCGGTGTGGAGAAGAGTGACTAAACTAAAATGAGAGCGCTGTGCGCTGTTAAAATAGTCGCGCAAATGACAACGACCGTTACGGTTGCTCTAAGTAGACATGGTAAACATTCACTTCCACAAAAATTAACTTAACGCTACACAGTAGGCCTGGCCGCTTTATTGTTTGTTTCACATCCTTGATGTGCAGCAGGCATTAATAATGACAAGAAAAATGATAGATGTATCATTTTCCAGGATTCTTTCAAGTACTGGCTGTGTATGTGTAGACTAGAGACTAGACTAGACTAGACTAGACCCCTATTCTGTATTTCGTTTCGAACGAAATTCTCATGCAAAAAAATATTTTTTTGTACGAGAATTTCGTTCGAAACGAAATACAGAATAGGGGTGATTGCCTTGGTTTGCGTCTCACCTCGTTTGCGTTTGCGTCTGAATCGCCCGTTTGAAAGTTCGAATCGGTCGTTTGACAATTCGAATTGTGGACAAACGAAATGCTCCTGTGGCATGTCGGTTCGTCGGTGTTATAAGTATGATCGGTAAAACCTGCGCAACGATTTTCAATCCCGGACTAGGTTTGGAAAATTAGCTTGATAAGTGGTTCACTTCATAAAAAGTACAAATCAGTTTGCATACACACGGCCAATGAGATCGATCCACATTTGAGGAACTCAGCGATGAGTAAATTTGCCCTGTGGAAAAACTCAAAAATCTGCCGGAAAATTTACGAAATTTTTACCCAACCTACTTTTCTCATATTCGGGAATTTTTTCCTGGAAAAACTCAATAAAATTTACTTTTTGCGATTTGTGAGTAAACTGAACTCAAATTTGGGTCGACTCAATGGCCGTGCACAGCACCGACATACCGACATGACACTTATTTCTGACTTATGCCCAAAAATCGTAAACGGCCGATTTAAATGTGCAGTGATCCGAACTTTATCTTATTTTTTTTCGCCGAGATTCCAACAGCCGAGTAGTTTTTCAATTTATTTTGCTGAGATTCAGTAAAACAATTGCCGAATCTCAGCTAACAAATAAGATTTTGCTGAGATATCAGCAAAAGTAAATGTCGAGGTAATCGGCTGTTGGAGATTTTACCGAGCTAGATTAAGTGTGTAGATAAAAATTAATTTTTCCAGAATAGATCAGACACGAACCAATTTATAACTTTTGCTTGCGGGTTCATGGCTTAGCTAAATATGTCCAGATGTCAGTGCGCTTTGGTCAAAAAAATTATTGTTTATTGCTATGGTCATTCATGTCGGTTTGTTGGTGTGCACAGTTCGAGCAAAGTTAATAAAACAGAGGACAGAAGTACCCAACCAATTAACAGAATTCGATCAAAATATATGCCTACAACCAGGGTTACTTCCACTCACTTGCTATAAAAAAATGTTTTTCGGAATTATGAAATCATTATATAGTATAATGCTAATTAGTACTAATAAGTTACAAGAAGAGGTCATGAAGTATATGTTTGACACATACAATCTGTCAAAATTGCTTTCAGTGCGTCACAATCAGCGATTTTACGACTCGTGAGCGCTCACTCTGAGTGAACGCTCACGAATCATAAGATCGCTAATTGTGACGCTCTCAAAGCGAAATTGACAGGTTTTATGAGTCAAACACATACTTCACTACCTCTTTTTGTTACTTACAAGTACAACATAGCATTATTGCATCTAATGATTGCATAATTCCGAATGATATTTTTTTATAGCAAGTGAGTGGAAGCAACCCTGCCTACAACCATATTTTTAGATTAGATTTATTTAGATCCTTGGTTCTCCCGGTTGAGTGGCCACCCTGCGAAAATCTTCGAAGGAGGTGAATTAGATAGGAACCGCTAAAACAAGTGCAGCCATGTTAAGCTCAAGTCAATTGGTTTCTTTCAAACTAATCCAAACCGACAGTTACATCTTAGGATTGATTCTTTATTTCGATACTGTTTTACTAGATAACATGAAAAAAATGCCTGTTGTAGTTTTCTCTTTTCTCCAAGAACTCTCATCGCTTAGCTATAATAATATGCTATCATTACCATTAGCTTATCATGTCGTCATAATCATAGTCGTTTTCAATAGTTTTTTTTTTTTTCATCTCATTCCCTTTTTTATTCATCTTATAATTGCACTAAATAGTAAAATTTATTGGAAAAATAGTGACGTTGAAGAATTGTCGGCTCAGCAGCTGTTTAAAAATTACCCTTAACGATATTGTTATTATTTTATTGTTTCGATTAAATAATTTTGCGAATTTCAAAACAACAAAAAACAGCTCAATAAGTGAAATATAGTTAGAACGGAAAGAACTTACCCGTCGCGGGATCCGGAAAACAGAACACAGGAAAGGGCAAAACTCCAAGCTCGCACGACTGTTTATATACACAATTGATTCTTAGAAGTATCATCCAGTTTTACTGCGGTGCCATTGTCGGCTGCGGGCTATTGTTGCTACCGAACTGCAGTCCACGAAGGGCTTCCGGAGGGATCGTAGCGTTAACCGTGATGGGTGGCATTCCCGGCAGGGAAATGGGTGTCGTAACGGCGCTGGTTTGGAACAGTGGTGGCTGCTGAGCTAGATCGATGGTGGCGCTTTGCTGCTGCTGCTGTTGTTGCTGTTGTTGTTGGGGAAAGGTCGAATACATTCGAATCGGAGCGGGTGCCTGACCGGCGGCATACGTCTGCGGTTGGTACTGCGGCTGAGCTTGCTGATGCTGATAGTCAGTAGGTGCCGCTGGGTACGATAAGCTAGACGGAAGGAACTGAAATGGGAGGATGTGAATAATAGGGAAAAGTTTACGTGGGTCATGGGACATACCGCGCTAGCAACCGACGTAGCAGCCGTTGTGTTCGGTGCGTTTCCATAGGTCTGATAAAAATCACTTGCCAACGAGGATGGTGGTGGAACGCTGGATGCAAAGACGCTGGGATTGACCGTAGGTAGAGTCACGGTCGACGATACGCTGGTCGGGTTGGTCGGTGCATAAGATAGGTTAACCAAAGTTTGCTGCTGTTGGCTGCTTGGAACCGAGTAGGGCATTTGCTGCTGGGCAGAAGGAGAGTACATGGGGATCGTGGCTGATGAGTACGACATAGTGGCAGCGACATCCGTACCGAGAGATGGCGGATCTGAAAGAAGAGTGGTTGCTCAGTAGAATTCGAATTGATTGGTACCTAACTGTTCTTATCTTTCGTGTAGGCAACGAACATGTTTCGATAACAACAGAACACGCAAAAAAACTCACAATTTCCATCGGATGATGCCAACGTTCCCGTCGGTGGCGGGTAGTATGTCTGTGTGATGCTAATCGGTGGCGAAGTAGCCGTATTCACCGGCGTGGTCATAACCGCAGGTGCTCCATTGTTATTGACACTCACAAAGTATGAAGGATTGTTGTTTGCATGATCCACCGTGCTCATGGTGGCAAACTGATTAGCCAAAGCCGTAGTCGTGCTATCCACTGTTCCGGTAGGCGAAACGGTTAACAGATCCGTATGCACCGTCCCGGCAGTCGATGCAAACGTATTTGCCAACGGAGGTACCATCGGGATGAATGGAATGGGTCGATTGGCCGCGTTAGGATCCGTCGGCGGGACCGACGTTGGTACCGACGTCATGCTCTGACTCAATGCCGCTCCCGTAGGCGGAATCATTTTACCTGCATCCGCCGGCAGCACCCGTATCGGTATTCGATGCAGATATCCGTAACCAATACCACATCCCAAACTACCTTCGCCTCCCCATTTGCTGTTTGGTGTGATTGTCACCTCCCTACACGCATCCTTGTCTATATTGTACACATACATCTTCAGTGGCCTGCCCTTGTGGGATTCGATCAACGTGAACAAATCCTCACTCTCGTGCAGGATCGAATCCGCCCCGATAATATAATCTGTGAACGGGATCAATCCTGCTTCTTCAGCCGGCGACGATGGATGCACCTCTAGAATGTGCCAAACATTCTCGTTCGCTCCCTCAAACGAGCAGAACCGTATACTAACCCCCAGTAGTCCCTGACCGCCCCAGGTCGTGCTTGGCATTATGTTAACCACACGAATATTCTGCGTTTTACTGCTGAAAACTGTCATCTGTATCTCCTTGTCAATGCTTGCCTTGAGCAGTTCCTTCAACGTATCATTGTCCTGATCCAGTCGGGTGTTTCCAATCGCCAGAATAAAATCAAAGAACGCTTCCAGTCCGGCCTTCTGCCCAGGCGAATTGTCTTGAACCTACCAAAGGACATTATAGAAACACAAACAAATAATGCATCAATCCTCGAATATTTCCGAGCGACAGCAGCAAGAGAAACTGAACACGTCATCTGTCAGTCAGTATTGCACTCCGGGAATCTGGAACTTACCCGCAGGACATGGTACCCTTCCGTACCACCGCCAGGGACGGAAATACTGTGCGAAAGACCCATTGTTTGCTGGAGCGCTCCACCGGAACCAACCGATAAACTTTATCACCGAAATTTCACCGATCTTTTCCGGCTAAAATGAAGATGAGAAATATTTGTGCTGCAGGAAAGTAGTGATTTTCCAGGGGATGAAGTTTTTTTTTCTTGTTGATGTCAAATTTGCATTCGTTGTTTGACAGGCGAACGTGGTGAAAAAACGAAAGCCTGATCGTCCGATAAAAGGTGATCTAACAATGTGGTGAGTACGTGGCACTGAACATTGAAATTAAATTTTTATTTAAAAAGGGCCTATCAACTTTTGTGAACACATCTAGAGTAACATTTGAAATGGGCCTATGTCCAAAACGTAAACAAATCGGGTTTTGATACCATTCTTTAGCACCGCTTGATAGCTACTAATCGTGTAAGAAAGTTCCGCATAATCGAGAAAAATCATTAAAATAACTCGATTTTCGAAACGGCCGATCAACGAAATTTTTCGATTCATTAATAGGCCCGCACGCTGAAACGGCCAACCATTCATTTATTTCATTTCATTGATAAGCCTAGTGACGTAGAAGGGCCGATGATTGAAAAATTTCAAACCAAAGCTAGGCCCTACTGCTTGAGGCAGGGCCGATGATTTGTTTTGAATTTATTTGACGTTGCGAAAAGGCTTAGCAAAGGGCCTACCATTTCTGATGACAAGCACAACGGCTTAACAAAAAGGGCCTATCCATTGAAAGATTCACAAAAAAGGCTTATTTATTTATGAAATTATATTGTTATCGATTTTCATATATTTTTGAAAGCTTTTCGTATATTTTGGCTGTTGTATACTGAGATACAGTTACTATTGGTATTGTGAACAATATAAATGCCTAAAATACTTCAATTTTCTTAAATATGAATTGAATAATGGCGGTCAAAATTTAAAATTCATTTTCTGGTTTGTTTACGTTTTGGACATAGGCCCATTTCAAATGTTACTCTAGACATCTTGAAACTTACAAGTTGTAATATGAGTGACGTGAAGTCGATCACTTTCGATTTTTTTTAATTAGGGGAATTTACGTATTCTCGGCAACCTAAGCAGCGACCTTATTTCTATAGCCTTTTTCTCTAAGGAACGCACACATATGCAGTATTGGTTTGTTTACAATCTTTTGCTGCCAGCTGCTCTAACAATTTCAGTCGAAAGAATTGTCAAAAACTGTTTTGAAACGCTTTTACAAACTCCAATCTTCTCTAGTGAGAGCGAGTATTGTCGGCAACCAGTTTTTCTTCGGCAACCGTTCCATTTGAAGTGCATGTAAATCTGCTGTTCTATTATCGGCAACTCGAAATTAGCTACAATTTGTAGTGCGTGTGCTGCATTTCAAGAAAACCTTGCTAGATTGCTTTTTCTCAGTGGTAAAAGTATAGTCAAATTGAAGCTGAAAGCATAAAGAATCGTTTGCATGCATTCAGCGAAGTGTTTTCGTAAGAAAATCCAGTGAAAATAGTGTTTCAATTTGTGTTGCCGAAAATAGTCTGTCATGCCGAAGCCGTCATTTCCCCTACTTTGCTTGAACAATATTCATTTTTTTTTCATATGTTTACATCCTCCCAACACCGCTCACAAATTGTGCCTTTTTTTTCCCAAAGCAGATAATATCATATTATGTGAACTCATTCGTGACCTTTTTATTATTTGATTGAGTTCAAGATCAAATTTTCATTACGTCGAAAGAAACAAAGGTAAACAAAGTCAAGCTATCAGTGTCAATCAAAGCTCCTGCTATTACACTATATACTGTCCGAATATGGGATCCCATCCCATTTTTAAATTTATTTACCACTCAAATTGCTTTTTGACGTAATCACCTTCCGATCAAAATATTTTTCGATGTTGCTTAGAGCAACCGTAAAGGCCCAAGCGCAATGACAGCGGAAGCGGAACGGCAGCGGCAGCGGAAAAGCCCGATCTGAGAAAGCGTATTTGTCGGATTGAAAGCTAATTAGTATCAAATCGACTTCGGTTAGACATCTTGATGACATTTGTGACAACTGCCAAACTTTCCGTTTCCGTTCCGCTTCCGCTCACATTGGGTTTGGGCCTTAACGGTACGCTGCTAAACTCATTTTAGCAGCCCTCATCCTAGCGCAGCTACCGTATCAGGGGTTGCCATACGAGTAACTAAAATAGCAGTCGGCTTCTCGGTGAGAAGCGCGCTACCAAATTTAGCAGCGCGGGAGAAAGGTTGCTATTCGTAGAAATGTCAAAATGCTCAGTACCGGTACGGACAAAGGCGAGTAAATTGATAACCGCGATAGCAGCGACCGGTGTGGAGAAGAGTGACTAATCTAAAATGAGAGCGCTGTGCGCTGTTAACATAGTCACGCAAATGACAACGACCGTTATGGTTGCTCTTAAGTCACCCAATTTTTATGGAGATGCCGTTTGTCTTAAGTAACAGCGCAGAGAAACCTGTAAAAAGTGTACGTTCGTCGTTTCGCTTTCTCATCATTAAAGTGAATAAATCAATGATGAATGGGCTGCATGTTAGGAGACGTGATTGATAATTCTCCCGAATATCCTGGTAAATACACGTTGACTTAAGCAACATTAGGGGGATACCAAACAAAGTTATTACTTTTGACCAGGGGGTAAGTCACTCTGCCACATTGTGCTAACACCCAGAGAAACATACTTCGACACACTTCAAGCACCCTTCTGTCACATGACAAGCAATTTTTTAATCAATTCTGGCACCACTGTTTACATGCGATTGTTATTTGGTTATTTAAAAAAAAAAAACAGAAAAAAACCGTCGAACCGTCCTGCCTTGAAAGAAAAACATTCTTGATCTGGATTGAAAACCTCCAATTCAAAGAAAAGGAAATACTAAACCGGTTGGGATCCACGAAAGCAGCGGCATCAGGATGCTAAAAAGTTAAAGATGTCTTGCAAGAAAACCAAGACAAACGCAACGTAAAAGTTTCTGATTGTAAATCCTAGGTTCTCACCAACGACGGCCCAATCACGGCCCCTCCAATTGATTGCAAATGCACCCTTTGCTTGATCCTTCTTCTTGGCTGGCACATACCCATTCGTCTTCCTCGTGAAGCGAGAGGGCCAATGCCAGTGTCAAGAACTAATTTTCGGACCCTGAACGGTAGCCGCTGCTGATTAATATTCGATCTCTACAGTTGCGAAATGGTTATGGAACTCTACTACTGGTTCTGATACAGCAAGTCAGTAGTATAGCTGGCGGTCCTTTCATTGTCTTACTCTGATATCCGGAGCTCCGGACTGCGGTCATTTTAGCTACAATAATCCTCCCGCCGGTTGTGCTTTTTCTTTAAACAAACAAAAGCAAAGGAATCGCAGGGGGTTCTGTCATGTTCAGTGTTATGTTATGGTTGAGGATATGGTTGCTAGTAAATGTATTTTTTCGGTTGAAGTTTTGACAACTCGGTCAATACGATGAAGCACACAGAAACACCTTCCGACACCCACAAACACACATCAAACACAATAAGCACAAACACAAGGTGGCGGTGACCAGCAAGATCATCAAGGAATGACTTGCCTCTCGTGTGAAATCCAGCTTTGATTAAACGAATGTCAAATGTACACTTAAAACCAAAAAGTGCCAGAAGCAAAAGACAACTGTCAGACTATATAGTATAAGATTCGCAAATATCACACATATTAGAATATTTAATATTTCCACCATCGGTATTGATGCTGATACTTGGAGCTGTCCACATCGGTGATTGAATAAACCGGATGGAATTCGATTTCGAAATCGGTGTTAGGAAAATCGATTTTCGCAGGCAATCGATGATTATTTTTATTATCATAGCAACAGTTGCACATTTGTGCAATTTTCAACCTTTTGAAAATTGATAAAGTCCTCCACTGGACATGGAAATCTCTTTGTCTAAACATCTCGTTAATAAAAAAAATAAAATACAGCAGTGACATCTATATAATGGAAAATGAATGCAGAAGCTTGATCAAAATTTGGAAATTGGATCGATTCTCTTCATCGACTTTCTCTTTTGATAACCAGTGCTATGCAAACAAATTTCGTGCTATTTTTTCCACATAGTTTGATAAAGGAGGTTCTTATCTAGCGTCCAAAACGTCAGAATTGCAAGGGAATGTTTTTGCAGCTCAATTATTAACGAAAGAGAAAGTAATTGAAGAGAATCGATCAATGCAGATTGGACCTTTTGAAATGTTTATCTAGACATGGTTAATTACACGGTGCCCCAAAGAACCCAATAATGAGCATTTTCGAGGGAAAATTTTACCCATTTATGTGTGATTGACCACTTTGTCAAGCAGTTTTGGCGTGACTTTCTACCAGCGATTTCACAAAACTGGACCAACTAATTTCTATTTTTTTGTGAAACGCACAAATGTTGGCTACTTTTCTCGAGGTTCTAGAAGAAAAAATCTTTAAATAATGTTTCATTTCAAAGTTCGAGTGGTAGTAAACGTCATTTTATCTGCTCGAATAAAGTGGTTAACTACAACTACAAAAATGAGTAGTAAGCATTGATTTATGAGTAACAAATACTTATAAATGGGTAATCATTTTACTCGCATAATGGGTTCCCTAATAAAAAATAACCATAAACGAACGATAACCCAAATCATTGAACTATTCCACAAATGGTTTGGATGATACCCAGAACACGTCGTTAAGCAAATTAACCATACAATTTTTATTAGGGTTTCCCTCAAAAATGCTTACTTTGTAGTCAATATTAGCGTTGACGGCGACTATGTAGCTCTTTACTCCTATGAGAAAACCCTTAAGCAAACGTCAGACTGTGCGTGAAAAATGGCGGACTTTGTACTATCCTTTCACTCCATCGAAAATTCCCATAAGAAACTGTCTACATTTGCTGGAAGAGCAAATTTTTCGACAGTGCCGTCAACGCCAATTGATTTTTTTATAGTCATTACTGGGTATTTTGCAGTTACCGTGTACACTATAAATATGCCGATTTTGGTAGATGCGGTCAAGCTTGTTCACAACATTCCATCATCGACATTGATCACTATATAGACCGGCAGCGCATATCCGACCATCTTTCTGCAGGCGTTTATGCTTTCGATGCTTTCAGTCTCGTGAACAAAAATCGTCAAGACCCAAAAGAGATGAAATTGAACGCAAAGCGCCCATTACACATGTCAATATATTGACAATAAATTGACATACTGACAATATTATTGAAAAGGTGATATTGATGATGATGATTGATGACAAGTATTGACGAAAAGCTGATTTTCATTTCACTTTGTCAATATTCAGAATATATTGACAAAAAAACAGTCAATTCTATCAATATCATCAATATACGAATATTGACAACATCAATGGCAATACGTTTGAAGCCTTTTAATCTCAATGTATTAAAGTCAATATTACTTGTGTTAATTTCCCCACACAAGAAACATGGATCAGCGGGTGAAAAGAGAAACGTCGTTACTGGACCTATGCACTGAAAAAAGTTTTCATATAGTTTCCATTGGGAACGCACATGATATTTGTCCAATAACAAAATTAATGATTTTTATCTGAAATTCAAATAACATTCATACGATCACATGAATTGTATATGACAAATCACATAAACTTCATTGGACACATAAGGTTCATGTGATTTTGTGATGCGATTCCCAATTATGAGATCACATGAAAGTTAAGTGTAATTCTAATGGATATTTTCCATTGGAAATGTGATTTATTTTTTGAGTGTGGAAAATACTAACTACACACTGAATTCGGATAACCTGAGTCGGTAAAATTTTACTCGGTTTTTGAACTACTAAAAAGTCGGTAAAATTTCAAATTACCATAACTCGTAAGAAATCAATAAAATCGACACATTATCATTGAACGGTTTTAAATAGGTCCGTACAATTTCGTAATAAATTTCAAAATTGTTGAATTGGTTGGTACTAGAAATACTCAGAGGAAGAGATGGGTGGAGATAATGTTTTGAGCCAAATGAACTGTCAAAATCTGAGCATATCGAACATTCCTATTAGAATTTTTCCGAGGATTTCTTATTCTTTCTAGAATAAATTTTAAAGTATTGCAATCGAACAGAAATTCAATCCCCTTTATGTTTTGTGTGCTTCCCAAATTCAACTAGGTTTTGGAACCAAAAAGAATACAAAGTGATCTTCGTTGGTTAATGAATGGCACCAAAAAATGTGCAAAATATTGCGATGCAATCAATTATTATTTTGCATGTAAATCGAATCAAAAATAAAAGTCATTTGAAATGCTAGCTTCTAGCAAGGGTTGCAAGATAATTTAGGAACAAATCCTTGCTGCCGTATTGTATTTTGTTTTCTCCGCCTATCTAGTTTCTAGTTGGTACTAAAGAGCCTGAATTTATAAAGAGACGACATCTTATCCATTTGACAGGTCTTCTGCTCGATTGGAATGACTTTTCCTATGATTTTGACAGATAATCGATTGTTCCAATGTTGACATGTCGCCTCTTTATAAATTTAAGCTCTTTAGTTGGTACTATCCTTTCACTCCATTGAAAGTTCCAATAAGAAACTGTCAATGTTTGGAAGAGATGATTTATCGACGGTTCCGTCAACGCCAATATCAAATGTTGTAACTTTTTGACAGGACACAGAAAATACACAGGACAACATGATAACAAATTAATGGAATTGAATCAAATCGATTGTCGACTGCGTAGAATTACCACTCGTGTTGAATAACCCACGTTCATGGTATGCAGTTTCCCATAAATAAACTATTATGCTGATGTTTTGGTAAACATTTCTAAAGGAAAAACTTGCATATATTATTGAATTTGCGTAACGTGTAGGCATGTGAAACGCAGATAGTATTTATTTTATTTTAAAGTAAAAAAAAACTAAATTACATGATTATGCTTGTGATTTTGTAGAAAATGAACATCGATATAGACGAAGCCTGGGTAGTGATTGGCGACTGTAAAAGGATACTTTTTTATTTAGTTTGATATCCATTTTATATCACACACGAAGATTTAAACAAAATGCCAACACTGCATGCGTGAAGGTGCATTGTGAGTCAGTCGGTCTAAATGACGTACGTTCTCCCTCCTCTTGGGTAGGGGAAGAATATTGAGAAAGTGAAATGAAAATCAGTTTTCAACAATACTCGTCATCAAACCATCGTCATCAATATTATCTTTCAATAATATTGTTAGTATGTCAATTTATTGTCAATATATTGACCTGTGTAACAAACGCTTTAGTGTATTGTCATTAATGTTGTCAATATTTATATATTGATTATATTGTAAAGCAAACCTCACACGCATCAATATATTGACGCGAAGGGGAATTATTGACAATAATATTGATGATGTGAATTCAGAAATATTGACAATCTCGATGTATTGACGTCAATATAGAATGTATTGACAATACGATTATTGTCAATAAAAGCAATCGTGTAGGGTCCACTTAAGGAAAATTGACAATACGATGTTTGTCAATATATTGACATATGTAATGGGCGCTCAAGAGCGAGTCGGGCGAGTGTAAATATGCTACTGTCAATACAATAAAATCCCCAGAGTTTTGGTTGAGTGAGATAGCGAGAGTGTGTATAGCGTGTAGGTATAGTAAAGCGAGTAAAACATTGGTCCAAGTGAAAAATATTTCATTCAACTTCTCAGACGGGACGGACGGGTCAGCTTGATAGAAGACGAATGCGCTCACTGACGGGCGCAGTGTGTGACGAATAAAAATAAAAGAAAACGAGTGTAGTTTTGTCGCGATTTTTCCCCCACGCAATATGGCAGCAAAAGTCTATTGCCCATAAGAAAAAGGAATAATCGAGTTATTTTGGTGGCGATCCGGATGCGATCGGTGGACGTACGGAAGTTTATCCTCAGCAGCAGCATCAGTCAGAAAAGAGGGCATCGTGTGTTGTTTTTAGGCGTGTGTGTACGTTTGTCTGCTCCCTCTGAGTGGAGGAAAGTCTAGAAGAGGAAAAAAATATCCACGGCGCAACCAACATCGCGGTCGCGGTCAGAAGGAAGAAGTAGTAGGCAATCGGTAGTGGATTGAGAGTGGTAACATTCGGAGGAGTCTACAGGAAAGAAGACGGGCACAGAATTGCAGCAGTGCAGTGTGTAAGCGAAAAAATACGTGCCGTGGGGGAAGTGCATAGTGTTGAAAAGTTGAATCATTGGAAAATCCCCTCCCCGTCGTGTGCTTCGAGAAAGGTAGTGAAGTGTGTGTGTGTGGGTTTGGAAAAGGTTTTCCTCTTCAATAGCCTAGTAGCGCAAACAGGGAACGGGGCAGAGCTCCCCGCAGAGGCGACGACGGATAATGGCCGATCAGAATGAAAAAATCCTACACCGTCTGCTGCAGATTGATGGCAACAACGAGTGCGCGGACTGCGGAGCAAAAAGTACGTAATTACGATTTACTACTATGTTCCTGTTCGGGGGTAGTACCTAGTATTAGTAGTATGTAGTATGGCAGGCTTAGTAGTAAGTAGGTTATGATGGTGGAAGGCCTACTCCCATAGAATGAAACGACCCCTTCCAGGACGGGAAGTGTTGTAAAGCTCACTTCCAGGAGCGATGTAGAAAATTTCGAAAAACTGAGAAAGCAATTTTTAAAATTTTCTTTGAAAGCTTGGGGAAATTCTTGTTTTGATTGTTTTTCTATATGCTTCATTTTGTTCGGTGTCGTGACGTGCAGATAAGATGGCAACAGTGCAGCCAGTAATTTGTTCTGTTCCCGTACGTGCTTTTCTGTAAGATTTTATGTTCCCGTACTTTTTGCAGCATATTATTTTCTATAGCAACTTATTTTACTCATGTTCAGTATATTAAACATTGCGTCGGAGCGCATTACTTCCGACACTATGTTCAACGTACGAACGAACAAGAGTAAAACCGATTGTCGCCTGTGGGTTATTCCGGGCAAGCTTGGCATAAACAGTTTTGCTCGCAAACTGCTCATTTGCTAATAACTTTGCACAGAGTTGAACATAGTTCTGTTTGAAGCAGTCGATAGAATAGAGTTTAAGCTTCTTATAGATATGTAAAAACAGGAGATTTTAATTCTAGTAATAAACTGTATTCGATTTTGCGTTGCAAAAATGAAGTGAGAAATGCTCGCTGCACATATCGGAATTCAAAGCGTAAATTCATTGGTGTTGATTCAAATAATAAGATTTACATACTCTTTGCATGTCTACAGTAAACTATGATCCTAATCTATCAATTATTTTAAAGAAAACTAAATTTCAACAACTGAGTGAAAAGTTATTAACAAATGAGCAGTTGGCGTGTACAACTGTGCATGCCAAGCATGATTCCGGGGCCTCCCTTAGCTCAGTTGGTAAAGGCGTAGCTTCAATGCAAGACCCTGCTGGATTCTGGGTGGCTGGGTTCAATTCCCGGTCCGGTCTAGGAACAAGGGTAGGTAAATTTCTCGATTTCACTGGGCGATTGTACTTGCAATACTAATTCAAAAAATGGTACAGGCATCCAAAGCTCTCAATTAATAACTGTGGAAGTGCATCTAGATAGAACACTTAGTTGAGAGCACGCAATAAGCTAATATGCAATAAGCAATAAGCTTGTAATGCGAAAAAGTAGAAGTAGTGGGTTATTCCGGTTTTCAACTGTACCGATGAAAGCAATAGCAAAATACCGGAACAGACCTATTGTGATTTGCTGGCATTATTAAGTTCAGTCATAATTGAATTTCACCAGGCTTAATTTTACACTTTTATAGTCTTTCAGATCATGAACTGAAATTGATAATAATATTATGTCAGGAGGTCTGTTTGCCAGCATTTTCTCTGATGAGAGAAACGTCAGTTCGAAGCTTCTGCAAGCTAGTGTAACTTGAACCGATTGGCAGTTAACCCTATGGAGTAATCAGTGATACCTTTTACTCGGAAGAAATAAGCGATCATATTTGACGATCTTCTGGGCACAATAACGTGTGAGCTATGTAAAAGATCTGGGACTAATTCTGGATTCTCAACTTACGTACAAGCAGCACATCTCGTATGTTGTCGGCAAAGCGTCAAGCCCATTGGGTTTTATCTTCAGGATAGCAACAAAATTCAAGTCACTGTACTCCATGATGCGATCCATTGTGGAATACTGTTCTCCGGTTTAGAGTCCAAACTGCAATAACGATCCTGAGAGAGTTGAGTCCGTTCAATGGCGTGAGGAAGCTACCTTGAAAAGGCGCCAGTCCTGTTTGTAATAGTGTTAACGTTTGGTTACGCATTTACATAACCAGATATTTTCAGAAATTTTGATTTCCATCAGCCTCGTAATCAAAATGATTTTGAGATTATATATTACTATATTCTTTGTAATCATGAGAGAGACCCGTCCGTTTCATCTGCCCAGCTATGAAAGTCGTTGCCAGTTGATCGATCTGGAGCCTGCTAGTAGTTTTGAAATAGCGTGTCTTCTTCTACCTCGAAACGCTCGGCTCACCCATTGAACTGCGGATGAAAAGTTGCGATTGTCACGTTATGGATACCGTTCCCGATGCTGAACTCTAGATAGAGCTGGAATTAGGGCGTAACAGTTTTTGTAAACAAGGACTTTTCTCCATGATTTCTTCGAATCCAAGGTACGCCCACGCAAACCAACATAACCATCGGATAAGGGTAGATTTCCCCTAGCCGCCGGTGATGTTGATTTGCGTAGGGGAGCTTTGACTTTCTAGAAATCATCTAGAGAAGTCATTGTTTACAAAACCTAACCTTTACAAACACTGACTGGTGAGCGAAGAAGCTCCGCAAGATACCGATGGTTCAGTGGCTGTTATCGACTTGGTTCTGACATTTTCCAACCACTTCGAGCACGAATCGTTGCTGAACAGAAAGTGCTCTCTTTCGATAGCAGGCTCGATAGACCCATTGGAATCGGTATGGAAGCGCTGTCAATGTTCTAGAACAGGGGTTTTTGAGTTTTTAAAACCACGGAGCACTTTTTGAGATAAAATTCTTGGCGGAGCGCCATCTTCGGAAGAATTGAGGGAAAAAAAGTTTATAATGTTCAACCCATGAAATCACAGAACAAAATATAACAAATTTACGAAAGTTATCCAATTACATGAACAAATTATTTTGACTTGGAAACAATTTGAGTAACAGTCTATGTTCTCAAAAATGTTACTTACCTTACCAATCAGGATAAGGCCTTGAAGTATTCTGCTGTCCGAAGAAGTCGTCTCCACTCTACTCGATCCAAGGCCACCCGTCGCCAGCCTCGTATTCTGCGAAGGGCAATTTCAATTTCATCGTCCGGCATTCTTACGACGTGCCCAGCCCACCGTAGTGTCTCAATTTTTGCAATGTGGACGATGGATGGTTCTCCCGTGGTTGATTTGCCTCCTCCACGATCCGTCATACATCTGTACTCCACCGTAGATGGTACGGAAAACCTTGTTGAGGTCCCGCGGCAGCTACGGTTCTGCTACTGGTTCCCGGTTGGTTTCCTTAAACGGGTAGCTTATGCGCCACTTCCGAAGAGGACGACCCGTCGTGCTTCACGATGCTCGGCTAGATACTGGCCAAATGAGCCAGCTCTGAAATTAACTACCAGCGTAGGGAACAAGACTAACAGACTCGAGTGACTAAAAAAGGAAGCGAACATACCCACTAAAACCCCAAAATACCGAGCCCATAGAACTTATAATCCAAAAACCAATCCAAACAGGAGTATCATTACTGACAGCAATTCCTCCGACTCATTAAACTCAACCCAAAGAATTAGCGAATCGACATGACAAAACGAAACGTGAAATAATCTTCAGATTCTCTCAATCAAACTTTCTAAAACTGAACACGATTAACTTTGGGCTCAGGAAAGTTCAGTAACTTCATTTATTCAGTAAATTTGTTATCCCAGGTCTTATTACACATGTGCATACATGGTTCTTCCGGCCTACCTCTGTTTCCTATCTTGTGCGGTCGATACTACTATGCCCTGAAGATTCACACTTCATTCAGGCGCAATACTGAATGAAGTGTGAATCTTCAGGGCAACATACAATGAAGGATTTTGAGAACGATTTTGTTTATATGTTATGTTTGCATCAACAGACTAGAAATAGTCCCAATGATGTTTTGTAATGGGGCCTCCCTTAGCTCAGTCGGTAAAGGCGCAGCTACAAAGCAAGACCATGCTGGAGGTGGCTGGGTTCGATTCCCAGTCCGGTCTAGGAATTTTTCGGGTTGGAAATTTTCTCGACTTCCCTGGGCATAGAAGTATGATTGGACTTGCCACACAATTATACCAATGCAAAAATGGTACAGGCATCGAAAGCTCTCAATTAATAACTGTGGAAGTGCATCTAGAACACTAAGTTGAGAGCACGCAATAAGCTAATATGCGATATGCATTAAGCTTGAAATGCGAAGAAGAAGAAGAAGATGTGTTGTAAAAAAAAGTACAGATTATACAGACTACATATACTCAAGGTCACTCAGCACATTGTGCCGATATTAGATTCGGCACAATCTCGTAGGTATTGGATTGCTGTAAATAAAATGGGAGCACTGCTGGAGAACTGTCATTGAAGTTGTTAACAACATTACGTACTCAGTGTTCACTCGGCTGTCGACAAAAGCAGGCCACTCTCGATGTGTGCTACGCGATCGTCTGTTTTCTCGGCAGCAACCATTGTGTGGTCCTCCTCATTGTTCTTCATCAGCAGTTCTTTCGGTCGATGCGTCGTCGACTTTGGAAAGCAACCGTTTCGTGATGAGTGTGTGAGTGCTGACCACGTTTTGCGTCCATTGCTGCAATGGACGCGCTCTGACCCTCGTTGGCGTACAACAATTTGCCATACAATGAAACCACTGGAAGCGGCTCCAGTTCTGATGGAGGAGGCTTTTTGGATAGCGGAAGATAAAGTGTTTATTGTGTTGTACCTTTTGACTATAGTTTTAAGATGTATTGTATAGTGACCAAGAATCCTCGGCTCTGTAAAGTTAATTCGGTTGAGCCTTATCAAATAAATTAATAAAAAAAAAAAAAAAACATTACGTACTGCTTGACTGTATATTCAGAAAAATCTTCTTATTGAATATACCAGAGAAACTCAGACCAACAGTTCACTTATAGATCTAAATACGAAATGTAGGTTCTAGAGTGGGCTCAAGAGAAAGAGGCAGTTAATCGGACTCCATTAGTACCCTTAATTCAAATAATGCTACAACTCACACTAAACCAACTACAGAAGTCTATTCATCATCCTCTATAGACGGTCTCTAACAATATTCCAACTCGTACCGGCAGCTGATAGGATAATAAATATAATGGATAACTTTTATTATCCATTTAATATCACCTAAATTTTGCAAACCCGCCACTTCCCCCGTCATCCTCATTCCGATTTATCCTTGTGATTTCAAACCAAAAC